CGCTGAGCCTGCGCGTCCGGAGCCTGTGCTCTGCAACGGGAGGGGCCACAACAGTGAGAGGGCCACGTACCCCAAAAAAAAAAAAAAAAAAGAAGGAGGCAGAAATGTGTTCCAGGTTCAAGCCTGACTGGCAGGGAGAATGGTAGTACTGTTAATAAGTGAGGAAATCGGGAGTTCAATTAGCTATATTAAATGTATTCTAGTTAGAGCTACTGCTATGTGTTGTGATTTTTAAAGCCCATACTGGACCTGCCAATAAAGAAAATTTTACGACTTGCCATTCTTTTCTTATATAGAACAGTTATTTCAGGATCTCTTGATACAGAGCTCTTTCTTCCTCTGACCCCCACCTTCCAAACCCAGAATTCAGTGTCTTCTGAGCATGTTGTCTCCACAGCATACCTTATCCCTGTCAGCATGGGAACTACTTATTTCAGAATTGGGAATCTGGCAAATATCCCACATAACAGAGAAAAATAGGACACTGGGTAATTTACCGTTATTGTGTGCAAGAAGTAGTAAGTGTCACTAGGGAAATGTTTTTGACAGACATGTTCTATTTGATCTTCATGATCTGCAAGCCTAATTCTGATGCAGGTTGCCTTGTGAGAATTCAGTCATTTAACAAATCAAACAAGTACCAACCATCTACCTAACATTGTCCTAGGTGCTGGGGACACATCAGGAAATAAGGTGGCCTATGTCGCTTGTACCATGGAGCTTCTATTTCAGGGGTCAGAGATAGGCACAGACACAATACAAATGAATAAATAAATAGATATTTTGTTTGGTGGTTAGTGCTAACATGAAAATAAAGCATGGTAAGGGAAATGAGAATGAAAAAGGAAATGCTGTTTTATATAAGATGGTTGGGGAAGACCACTGATAAGGTGATACTTGAATACCATCTGGAGAATGTGAGGGAACAAGGCATGTGGACTTCTGGGGGAAAAATGTTCCAGGCAGAAGAAATAACCAGTGCATAGGGCTTGCGTGCAGAAATGAGTTAATGTAGTAGGCCTGAGACTGCTATCATTAGAAAGGCATAATTGTAAGGCTGGCTCTTGCCTGGTATCTGGCAGCTTGGATTTGGGGAGAGTTTCCACCATTCCCTGATAAGAATGACTCACTGTGCCCACACTGTTTGTACAGGCAATGTGGTTTATGCTAAACATCTGTTTTCCTTCTGGGAGTCTGGAGTTTTGGTACTTGCTAGGCAGAGGACACTTCCATGACTAGCCCCCAATAAAAATCCCAGGTACTGAGTCTCTGATGAACTTCCCTGATAGACAACATTTTATACATGTTGTCACAACTTGTTCCTGGGAGAATTAAGTGCATCCTGTCTTACTGCACTGCAGAGGACTCCTGGAAGCTTGTACTTGTTCACCCCATGAACTTTTTCCCTTAGCTGATTTAGCTTCATGTCCTTTCACTGTAATAAATCATAGTGGTGAATATGACTACTGAGTCCTGTGAGTCCTCCTAACACGTCATCATACCTGGGACTTGTCTTGGGGACCCACACAGCTTGAGATGAAGATTGGTTGGCAGGTTCAAGCACCAGCAAGGAGCCAACGTGTCTGGAGTGGAATAAACACAGGGGAAAGTAGTAGATGAAGTGAGAAGGATTATAAGGGGCCACATCATTGTAGATCATCTTATTAGACATAGTAAGGACCTTGATTTTTTGTAAAGTGGAATGAAAAGCCATTTGACGAGGGAAGTACCGTAGTATGATTTTTTTTTTTTTTTAAATGAGGCTTCAACATCATATGGAATCCAGATGACTAGTTAGGAGATTGTTGTAATAGACCAGTGGCAAGATATTGGTGGCATGGACAAGGGTGATAGTACTGAAAGTAATGAGCAATGGTTGGTTTTGGAATATATGGTAAACGTTAATCCAGTAGAATTTGCTAATGGATTAGATGTGGAATTAAGAGAGGAGTCAAGGACGACTTTAAGATTTTTGCCTGAGCAGTTGGAAAAATGGGTTGTTATTTGCTGAAATGAGAAGATTATTGGAAGAGTAGATTTGGGGCAAGAAGAAAAAAAAGTTCCATTTTTGAGTAAGATTGAGGTGCATAAGTGGAGATAATAGGCGTGTAGTTGGATATGAGTCTGGAATTGAGGGGAAGTCTGGTTAGATATATAAATTTGCAGGACATTTAAAACCCCTGGCACTGAGAAGATCATCTAGAAAGAAATTTAGAGAAGAAAAGAAGTCTGAAGATTAAATGCCAGGGGCACCAAAATTTAGTCCTTGAGAAAATAAGGAGGATCCTCACTGAAAGTGAGGGGATGGAAAAAGATATTCCATGCAAATGGAAATCGAAAGCTGGAGTAGCCATTCTCATATCAGACAAAATAGACTTTAAAATAAAGACTATCACAAGAGACAAAGAAGGACACTACATAGTGATCAAGGGATCAATCCAAGAAGAAGATATAACAACTGTAAATATTTATGCACCCAACATAGGAGCACCTCAATACATAAGGCAAATGCTAACAGCCATAAAAGGGGAAATCGACAGTAACACAATCATAGTAGGGGACTTTAACACCCTGCTTGCACCAATGGACGGATCATCCAAAATGAAAATAAATAAGGAAACAAGCTTTAAATAACTCATTAAACAAGATGGACTTAATTGATATTTAAAGGACATTCCATCCAAAAACAACAGAATACACTTTCTTCTCGAGTGCTCATGGAACATTCTCCAGGATAGATTATATCTTGGTTCACAAATCAAGCCTTGGTAAATTTAAGAAAATTGAAATTGTATCAAGTATCTTTTCCGACCACAACACTATGAGACTAGATATCTATTACAGGAAAAAAGCTGTAAAAAATACAAACACATGGAGGCTAAACAATACACTACTAAAATACCAAGAGATCACTGAAGGAATCAAAGAGGAAATCAAAAAATACCTGGAAAAAATGACAATGAAAACACAACAACCCAAAACCTATGGGATGCAGCACAAGCAATTCTAAGAGGGAAGTTTATAGCAATACAATCCTACCTCAAGAAACAAGAAAAATCTCAAGTAAACAACCTAACCTTACACCTAAAGCAATTAGAAGAAAAAAGAAAACCCCAAGTTAGCAGAAGGAAAGAAATCATAAAGATCAGATCAGAAATGCATGAAAAAGAAATGAAGGAAACAATTGCAAAGATCAGTAAAACTAAAAGCTGGTTCTCTGAGAAGATAAACAAAATTGATAAACCATTAGCCAGACTCATCAAGAAAAAAAGGGAGAAGACTCAAATCAACAGAATTAGAAATGAAAAAGGGGAAGTAACAGCTGACACTGCAGAAACACAAAGGATCATGAGAGTTTACTACAAGCAACTCTATCGCAATAAAATGGACAACCTGAAAGAAATGGACAAATTCTTAGAAAAGCACAACCTTCCGAGACTGAACCAGGAAGAAATAGAAAATATAAACAGACCAGTCACAAGCACTGAAATTCAAACTGTGATTTAAAATCTTCCAACAAATGAAAGGCCAGGACCAGATGGCTTCACAGGCGAATTCTATCGAACATTTAGAGAAGAGCTAACACCTATCCTTCTCAAACCCTTCCAAAATAGAACAGAGGGAGGAACACTCCCAACCTCATTCTACGAGACCACCATCACCCTGATACCCAAACCAGACAAAGATGTCACAAAGAAAGAAAACTACAGGCCAATATCACTGACAAACATAGATGCAAAACTCCTCAACAAGATACTAGCAAACAGAATCCAACAGCACATTAAAAGGATCATACACCATGATCAGGTGGGGTTTATCCCAGGAATGCAAGGATTCTTTAGTATACGCAAATCAATCAATGTGATAAACCATATTAACAAACAGAAGGAGAAACCATATGATCATCTGAATAGATGCAGAAAAAGCCTTTGACAATATTCAACACACATTTATGATAAAACCCCTCTAGAAGTAGGCATAGAGGGAACTTACCGCAACATAATAAAGGCCATATATGACAGACCCACAGCCAACATTGTCCTCAATGGTGAAAAACTGAAACCATTTCCACTAGGATCAGGAACGAGACAGGGTTGCCCACTTTCACCACTATTATTCAACATAGTTTTGCAAGTTTTAGCCGCAGCAATCAGAGAAGAAAAATAAATAAAAGGAATCCAAATTGCAAAAGAAGAAGTAAAACTGTCACTGTTTGCAGATGACATGATACTATACATAGAGAATCCTAAAGATGCTAACAGAAAACTACTAGAGCTAATCAATGAATTTGGTAAAGTTGCAGGATACAAAATTAATGCACAGAAATCTCTGGCATTCCTATACACTAATGATGAAGTATCTGAAAGAGAAATTAAGGAAACACTCCCATTTACCATTGCAACCAAAAAATAAAATACCTAGGAATAAACCTACCTAAGGAGACAAAAGACCTGTATGCAGAAAACTGTAAGACACTGACGAAAGAAAGATGATACAAATAGATGAAGAGATACACCATGTTTTTGGATTGGAAGAATCAACATTGTGAAAATGACTATACTACCCAAAGCAATCTACAGATTCAGTGCAATCCCTATCAAACTACCAATGGCATTTTTCACAGAACTAGAGCAAACAGTTTCACAATTTGTATGGAAACACAGAAGACCCCAAATAGCCAAAGCAATCTTGAGAACAAAAAAACGGAGCTGGAGAAATCAGGCTCCCTGACTTCAGACTATACTACAAACCTACAGTAATCAAGACAGTATGGTACTGGCACAAAAACAGAAATATAGATCAGTGGAACAGTATAAAGAGCCCAGAGTTAAACACACGCACATATGGTCACCTTATCTTTGATAAAGGAGTCAAGAACATACAATGGAGAAAAGACAGCCTCTTCAGTAAGTGGTGCTGGGCAAACTAGACAGCTACATGTAAAAGAATGAAATTAGAACACTCCCTAACACCTATAAAAAATAAACTCAAACTGGATTAAAGACCTAAATGTAAGGCCAGATACTATAAAACTCTTAGAAGAAAAAAATAGGCAGAACACTCTATGACATAAATCACTTCAAGATCCTTTTTGACCCACCTCCTAGAGAAATGGAAATAAAAACAAAACTAAACAAATGGGACCTAATGAAACTTCAAAGCTTTTGCACAGCAAAGGAAACCATAAACAAGACCAAAAGACAGCCCTCAGAATGGGAGAAAATATTTGCAAATGAAGCAACTGACAAAGGATTAATCTCCAAAATATACAAGCAGCTCATGCAGCTCAATATCAAAAAAACAAACAGCCCAATCCATAAATGGGCAGAAGACCTAAATAGACATTTCAACAAAGAAGATATACAGGTTGCCAACAGACACGTGAAAGAATGCTCAACATCATTAATCATCAGAGAAATGCAAATCAAAACTACAATGAGATATCACCTCACACCGGTCAGAATGGCCATCATCCAAAAATCTACAAACAGTATATGCTGGAGAGGGTGTGGAGAAAAGGGAACCCTCTTTCACTGTTGGTGGGAATGTAAATTGATACAGCCGCTATGGAGAACAGTATGGAGGTTCCTTAAAAAAATAAAAATAGAACTACCATATGACCCAGCAGTTCCACTGCTGGGCATATACCCTGAGAAAACCGTAATTCAAAAGGAGTCATGTACCACAGTGTTCATTGCAGTGCTATTTGCAGTAGCCAGGATATGGAAGCAACCTAAGTGTCCATCGACAGATGAATGGATAAAGAAGATGTGGCACCTATATACAATGGAATATTACTCAGCCATAAAAAGAAACAAAATTGAGTTATTTGTAGTGAGGTGGATTGACCTAGAGTTTGTCATACAGAGTGAAGTAAGTCAGAAAGAGAAAAACAAATTCCGTATGCTAACACATATATATGGAATCTTAGAGAAAAAAAAAATGGTTCTGAGGAAGCTGGGTCAGGGCAGGAATAAAGGCACAGACGTAGAGAATGGACTTGAGGACATGCGGAGCGGAAAGGGTAAGCTGGGACGATGTGAGAGAGTAGCATTGACATATATACACTACCAAATGTAAAATAGATAGCTAGTGGGAAGCAGCTGCTTAGCACAGGGAGATCAGCTTGGTGCTGTGTGACCACCTAGAGGGGTGGGATTGGGAGGGTGGGAGGGAGATGCAAGAGGGAGGGGATATGGGGATATATGTATATGTATAGCTGATTCACTTTGTTATACAGCAGAAACTAACACAACACTGTAAAGCAATTATACTCCAATAAAGATTAAAAACAACAACAACAAAAAAAAAGAATGAGCATTTAAATTTATAGTAGCACTGAAGTGTGATACAGAAATAAGGGAGTAATAGGTATTAAGTAGTAGGTATTAAGTTCAGTTATGTGTATCCGATAATCTTGATGACTTAACTTTGCTACATTTTTATCAGAAGTGAAATTCATTCAAAAAGTATTTGAGTGCCTCCTCTGTACCAGGCATTATTTTAGTCATAGGAATTGAGCTTTTCAGTTTTTCCCTAAATTAACTTACAGTCTAGAAGAGGAAATAAAAATATATCTATAGCAGATGCAGGAAGTGTGGTATAAATTGCTTTTGAATGTGGAGAAATACGATTTGTGTCTCAAATCGGGGAAGGCTTCACAGAGGAGGCGGTTATTTTAAGACTGGAGAAGATGACGTGCATCAGTGAGTACAGTGTGGCCTTAGCAGTTGCATGTCTGACTCTGAATTTTGGGTGTATGCTTACTACCCTATACATACGTTCATATATTCCAAACATATTTGAAGTGAGTCTGCAGGAAGAAGAGAGATCTTGAAAACAACTTCAGCATCATGACATACTAAAATTTGAAATTAATGTACTCCCTAGCAAAGAGACCTTTGAGAGTTCAGCTACTTTATTGTCTCCAGCAATGTGCTTCAAGCATTGGAGATAGGGGTGGGGAATGCCACAGGAAATTTGGCATTTTTTAAATTAAAAATATATTTATACGTGTCCTACAGGTAGGTTCATCTGTACCATTTTTCCAGAGTCCACATATATACGTTAATATACAATATTTGTTTTTCTCTTTCTGACTTACTTCACTCCGTATGGCAGACTCTAGGTCCATTCATGTCTCTACAAATGACCCAATTTTGTTCCTTTTTAAGGCTGAGTAATATTCCATTTTATATATGTACCACATTTTCTTTATCCATTCATCTCGGTGCTCTGTGGTGATCTAGATGGGTGGGATGGGGGGAGTGGGAGGGAGGTCCAAGAGGGAGGAGATATGTGTATACATATAGCTGATTCACTTCATTGTACAGCAGAAACTAACACAACATTATAAAGCAACTATACACCAATTTAAAAACATATATGTATATAAAAACACTTAACTTTTTCTTTTAAATTTATTTATTTATTTTATTCATCTTTGGCTTCATTGGGTCTTCATTGCTGCGCACGGGCTTTCTGTAGTTGTGGTGAGCGGGGGCTACTCTTCATTTCAGTGCACAGGCTTCTCATCGCGTGGCTTCTCATTGCGGAGCATGGGCTCTAGGCACACGGGCTTCAGTAGGTGTGCCACGCAGGCTCAGTAGTTGTGGCTTGCAGGCTCTAGAGCGCAGGCTCAGTAGTTGTGGTGCCCAGGCTTAGTTGCTCCGCGGCATGTGGGATCTTCCCGGACCAGGGCTCGAACCCGTGTCCCCTGCATTGGCAGGTGGGTTCTTAACCACTTCGCCACCAGAGAAGCCCAAAACACTTAACTTTTTAACACTAACACTGAAACAGTGAGTAACTGAGAGACCACACAAAATGGCTCATAGAAGAATTAGTGCAAATAGGAATTTACTCCATTAATTCTTTTTCAAACCTCTTAAAATAATTTTTAAGACAATTTCAACATAGTACACAACTGGTTATATGAGACTAAATAACAGTGTATTATCACCGAGTTATGAAAGTATTTGCTTACAGTGATTGTATTTTGAATCTTAGATTCTTATCTCTATAAACCTATTGTATTCTATTATTTTCTTCCCCTTTTTGCTTTTTTTTTTTTTTGAATAGGGAGCTTCTCTGTTGTTGATGCTGAAAACTTACCTTAGTGAAGATGTATTTCAACATGCTATTGTTCTTTACCTGCATAATCATAGCTATGCATCCATTCACAGTGATGATCTGTGGGATAGTTTTAATGAGGTAAGTGATCTGGATATTTTATTTAGCTCTTAAACTAAGAGAGGAGTTCTTATATTTATGTTTTTATCAAATATGTAAATAAGCTATGGTACCAAGGATAGTTATTTAAGAGAGAGGGGAATGGAGCTTAGTATATAAATATTTATGAATAAGAACATAGAATTAGGGCTTCCCTGGTGGCGCAGTGCTTGAGAGTCCGCCTGCCGATGCAGGAGACGCGGGTTCGTGCCCCGTTTCGGGAAGATCCCACATGCCGCGGAGCGGCTGGGCCCGTGAGCCATGGCCACTGAGCCTGCGCGTCCGGAGCCTGTGCTCCGCAAATGGGAGAGGCCACAACAGTGAGAGGCCCGCATAACGCAAGGAAAAAAAAAAAAAAAAAAAAAAAAAAGAACATAGAATTAAAAGTCATGAAATGAAAGTCCTGGTCTTAATTGTTGAAAAAATTGCATGAGGCCTTGTGTAAGCATCTTTAGTCTATATCTTAATCTCCATTCCTACTTTGTAAGAAAGTTCTCTTTTCTGAATTAGTGTATATTATTATGTTTTCATTATTTGATTTTTTTTTCAAAAATCTCTTTTCCTTTCCTTATGTTTTTGCAGTCTTTCTACCTTACATTCATGATTTTTTGCTCTATACTCTGCCTTATGAATCCTCCTATCTTTTGTGGCCATGTTCCTCTAAATTAGATGATGTATCATAGTCTGGCTGCCATGGCTCCATACTACCCTTGGATCATTTTGCTGCTTGGATTTTGTTGTGCCTAGAATTCTAACGAGCAGTGTAATCAGTTACAAGTTATGCTTCATAACAGTGTGTGAACCCAGCCTGCATCGTGCACATATGCTAATGGCATAGCCCTTATAAGCATTTGAATTTGTTACCCTGATCTAGATCAATGGTTTTTAACGTTTTGGAAGATCACAGACATATTTGAAAATTTGATGAAAGTTCTGGACATACTCCCCCAGTAAACCACAGATAGGCAAAATATCACACACAGATTCAACGTTTTATGGATCCTGGGTTAAGAACCCCTGCTCTGGATCTTTTCCATGTGCTCTCTCTGCTCCCTTGCCTTCTCTGAAATTTGGTATCTTCTAATTGTTAACCGTTTTCCCAGAAGATATATCTTCCCTACTGTCTGAGTTCTTTTTGAGAAGAACGATCAGTCCTTATTACCTAAGAGTTGCTTCTAAATCATTGTTTTTCCTCTTATCAGGTACTAGCATTTCAAATGAAAGCCACATTATTTACTTTATACTCATTGTATTGTCTCCTGACGTTTAGAATATATTTCTGCCTTCCTCACTGACTTCAACTTTTGCATCACAGTGTTTTCCTATCCAGATCTAGCCCCTTAACATTATCCTCAGGTTCTTCAGCATCCACATCAAATTATGCCCTGGACTTTTCATTTCAGTTCTGTTTCAGAGACCCAAAAGTGCCTTGCTTTGGGGCAAGCTTGTTTTCTTCCCAGCCTCTTGTGCAGAAATAAATAGGTCAGAGCCATGAGAAACATAAGGTTAATCTCACAAAGCATTTGGGAAGATTTTCTCCATCCTTTTTGGCTTTAAATAAGTAGGCATATGTCGACTGAGGTGTCAGGCCTGCCATAGTGGCGTGATATTACAAAACATTTTAAGCACTTGATGATTTGAGTTGCTTGCAAATCCATAGGTAATCTAGAAAAATAATTTGAATCATAAATTTAGCTCTCGTGCTTCAAAGAGATAGTTCAAAAATTGCTTCTTAATCATTGATACCAGATATCTTAGGGACAGGGAGCTTTAGAGGGTCTGTGAACCTCTGACACTGGATTCTAGATCTCGTAGATAAATTCATGTATTTTATAGGAAAAAGGGGTATGTGACCATGAAAAACATTCACTGCTGTTCTCTAGAGAGACCTAAAGCCCAGGCAGCCAACCTGTTTGTATCTCACTCCTCTGCTGCTGCTGCTCCCAGGCACTCCCACAGGATGAGCTCTTTAAAAGATGAACTTTAACATTTGTGAAAGCAGAGGGTCTGGGGAATAAAGAGAAATCTGGACCGAGAAATCTGGACCTAGCTGATTCACAGGAGTGAGTAGCAGTGCTTCTGATTCTAGACTGCATATCATTATCCATACCTTCTAAATGTTAGTATTGTGACCTGAAGGAGTGCTTATATCTTCTTAGGGATTTTAATGAACACTCAGTTGGTTGATAGCATATGTGCTGCTTTTTCAACGTAGTTCCTCTCTCACTCTCTTTAGTTATCACTTAGCTGTATTCCAGGTTACTTTCCTTTTAGCACTTGCTCAATTACCTAGAGTAAAAATGTAAATTCAACTCAGCATTTGTGCTTCTTTTTTATATTACCATTAAATGTAGTCTCCATAGAATGTGGTAGGGAAAGAGGGAAAAGTACTATAAAATTTTTAGACTGCTTAAGCAAAAATAATTTTTTTTTCTATAGGTCTCAAACAAAACACTAGACATAAGGAAAATGATGAAAACCTGGACCCTGCAGAAAGGATTTCCTTTAGTGACTGTTCAAAGAAAAGGAAAGGAACTTCTGGTGCAACAAGAAAGATTTTCTTTAAATATGAAGCCTGAAATTCAGCCTTCAAATGCAAGGTGAGTGCCCTCTCTCTCTCCCCACTATCTCTTTTGCACCTTCAGGTTAAAGTATTTTTGAGTGTTTTGTAATCATAAGTTCTTAAGAAACCTAACATGATTATCCCTTTCCGGGAATAGCTTGAAAAATGTCACCTTCCTGCCAAAAAAAAAAAAATACCCAACAAATTATGTGTAACTGACTGAAATATTGGAAAGAGGGATAATCTTCCAGTATTTTCTTTTTACAGCTCTCTGTGGCATATTCCACTATCCTATGTCACTGATGAAGGAAATTATTCAAAGTATCGATCAGTATCATTACTGGACAAGAAATCAGGTTTGGCTATATTTAACACTTTTCTGAAATGAAATTAGAAACAGCATATTTTCTAAAAATTGACCAAGCACCAGAAAGGAGATTACACTTTCCATTACACTTTCCAGTGTACACAGCTCTCTGAGCTGGTTCTATGAGACACCTGTACAAAATGTGACTAAGGTGAGACTGATTCTATGTATCATGCATAAAACTGGTCTTTCTTAGTCATGTGAAATAAGGTATAAAAAATTGCACTGAATATGCTAGCAGTTGTGGTAGAAAATAGCGAATACTGTGTTTTTGTATCCTAGATAAATATTTTGTCAGAAGTAGTTAGAAGTATACTCTGCTGGCTACTCTCTAGGGGTGGGCTGAGGCGACTGCATTTTAATAAGCACACTAGATGATTCTTATGCATGACAAACGTTGATTCATGAGACAGATTTATAGTAAATAATTATTACAAAATGTCCTGTAGACACAGTATACATTTTTTGATAATGAGAAAATAGGGCAAGAAATTACGATTGTGGGGGGATAATAAAATGTAAAGATTGTATATGCTGACCCACAGGAGTCTATAAAAAGAAATTGAAATGTAGTTTCTAACCATCTGTTAAATACCACTGAATGCTACACCACGTATCCTCTTAATTTACATCTTGAAAACATGAGGCTCTTGGGTTCTGCAGGAACCATTAGTGATACTTTAGATTTATGGAAAGGGAAAATTTCTTGTTTGAATTGGATCTGTTGTTCAATCCTATATCTTTGAGAGGGGAGTGTAGCTTAGTAACAGTCTGACTTTGCAGCCACATTGCTTCGTCAGTTGTATGATTTTAGGTGAGTTATGTGACCTCTCTGAGCCCCTTTCCCTGAGCTATAGAATGGAGAGAGTAATTATACTTGCATTATAGTGTTATGTGAGGATTAATTGAGCTCATTTATATGAAGCACCTAGAATAATGCATGGCACATGTTATGTGCTATATAAGTGTTAGTTATCATTATTAATGTTACTGTTGAAAAAAATAATTTTTAAGCATAACATATGCACATTACATAAAATCCAGAAGATGGAGAACAAATCTTATTACCCTATTGTAACTACTCTCATGATTATTTCTTTCTAGTCATTTTTTTAAAATAATTTTTTTACTTGGTTGATATTGTGTACATGTGATTTTTATATCTTACCTTTTATTTTTTAACATCTTTATTGGAGTATAATTGCTTTACAATGGTGTGTTAGTTTCTGCTTTATAACAAACTGAATCAGTTATACATATACATATGTTCCCATATCTCTTCCCTCTTGCGTCTCCCTCCCTCCCACCCTCCCTATCCCACCCCTCCAGGTGGTCACAAAGCACCGAGCTGATCTCCCTGTGCTATGCAGCTGCTTCCCACTAGCTATCTACCTTACGTTTGGTAGTGTATATATGTCCATGCCTCTCTCTCGCTTTGTCACAGCTTACCCTTCCCCCTCCCCATATCCTCAAGTCCATTCTCTAGTAGGTCTGTGTCTTTATTCCTGTCTTACCCCTAGGTTCTTCGTGACATTTTTTTTTCTTAAATTCCATATATATGTATTAGCATACGGTATTTGTCTTTCTCTTTCTGACTTACTTCACTCTGTATGACAGACCCTAGGTCCATCCACCTCATTACAAATAGCTCAATTTTGTTTCTTTTTATAGCTGAGTAATATTCCATTGTATATATGTGCCACATCTTCTTTATCCATTCATCCGATGATGGACACTTAGGTTGTTTCCATCTCCTGGCTATTGTAAATAGAGCTGCAGTGAACATTTTGGTACATGACTCTTTTTGAATTATGGTTTTCTCAGGGTATATGCCCAGTAGTGGGATTGCTGGGTTGTATGGTAGTTTTATTTTTAGTTTTTTAAGGAACCTCCATACTGTTCTCCACAGTGGCTGGATCAATTTACATTCCCACCAACAGTGCAAGAGGGTTCCCTTTTCTCCACACCATCTCCAGCATTTGTCATTTGTAGATTTTCTGATGATGCCCATTCTAACCAGTGTGAGGTGATACCTCACTGTACTTTTGATTTGCATTTCTCTTATAATTAGTGATGTTGAGCAGCTTTTCATGTGCTTCTTGCCCATCTGTCTGTCTTCTTTGGAGAAATATCTGTTTAGATCTTCTGCCCATTTTTTGATTGGGTTGTTTGTTTTTTTAATATTGAGCTGCATGAGCTGTTTATATATTTTGGAGATTAATCCTTTGCCTATTGATTCATTTGCAGATATTTTCTCCCGCTTGTCTTTTCGCCTTATTTATAGTTTCCTTTACTTTGCAAAAGTTTTTAAGTTTCCTTAGGTCCCATTTGTTTATTTTTGTTTTTATTTCCATTACTCTAAGAGGTGGGTCAAAAAAATTTTGCTGTGATTTATGTCAAAGAGTGTTCTTCCAGGCTTCCCTGGTGGTGCAGTGGTTGAGAGTCCGCCTGCCCATGCAGGGGACACGGGTTCGTGCCCCGGTCCGGGAAGATCCCACATGCCACGGAGCGGCTAGGCCCGTGAGCCATGGCCACTGAGCCTGCACGTCTGGAGCCTGTGCTCCGCAATGGGAGAGGCCACAACAGTGAGAGGTCCGCATACCGCAAAAACAAACAAAAAAAAAGAGTGTTCTTCCTATGTTTTCCTCTAAGAATTTTATAGTGTCTGGTCTTATGTTTAGGTCTTTAATCCATTTTCAGTTTATTTTTGTGTATAGTGTTAGGGAGTGTTCTAATTTCATTTTTTTTACATGTAGCAGTCCAGTTTTCCCAGCACCACTTATTGAAGAGACTGTCTTTTCTCCATTGTATATCCTTGCCTCCTTTGTCATAGATTAGTTGACCACAGGTGCGTGGGTTTACCTCTGAGCTTTCTATCCTGTTCCATTGATCTATATTTCTCTTTTTATGCCAGTACCATATTGTCTTGATTACTGTAGCTTTGTAGTATAGTCTGAAGTCAGGGAGTCTGATTCCTCCAGCTCCGTTTTTCCCCCTCAAGGTTGCTTTGGCTACTCAGGGTCTTTTGTGTCTCCATACAAATTTTAAGATTTTTTTGTTCTAGTTCTGTAAAAAATGTCGTTGGTAATTTGATAGGGATTGCATTCTATCTGTAGATTGCTTTACCCATCTCCCTGTTTTCAAAAGGGACCAATAAGGAAATTTTGCAAACCTCCCAATAGTATATAAGTTTTTGGTGGTATTAGAAATAATTGGACAATAAGAAATCTGCTTTTATTAGCCCTCTACTTTTTAGCTCAGTTCATATGCCAGTTTCTTAAACTCTTTCTGAGATTCACACCCCAAAGTCTTGCTCATATTTTCCTGCTATTGCCATTTCCTTCTAAGTACTTACCTGGCACTCTCTGCTTCCACTGCACAAAAATTGTTTCAGCAACTCAAACATGCCACACTGCCTCTTGTCTCTGGGCCTTTACATATGCTGTTTTCTCTTCTGGAAGAACACTCCTGCCTCCTGATTCCCTGGTTTTACTCCTATGCACTCTTCAGATCTCAACTCATCCATTGATTGCTCTAAGGAGCCCTCCCTCACCCCAAGACAGGTTAGATGCCCTACTTATGTGTTTTAATGATATTCTCTACTTTTTATATACTATAAGTACTGTTTTGTTTATATTTATCTCACATTAGATGTATCCCCCATTGAGGGTGGAGATCTTGGTTACACAAATCACTTTTGCAACCTTAGCACCGTATAGGTACACAAAAATTTATTGAATAAATAAATTTAGTCTATAACAACGTGACTCAATTTCAAATTTCACTGTAAGAAGTTCTAGGAAAAGAGCATTCCAGCCTTGATGAAATGATACCTTCTGTTTCTCTTCATTTGAAAATATTCTTAGTAAAGGGAAATATATGAAATGCACTATAATATGATTGGTTTAATCTAGAGGTGGAACTGAGCCAATATGTGCTGAAAGCAGTGTCTGCTAATTCCTCTTCTCAACTGTGGTTTTGTTTTTGTTTTTGTTTTTGTTTTTGTTTTTTGCGGTACGCGGGCCTCTCACCACCGTGGCCTCTCCCACTGCGGAGCACAGGCTCCGGACGCGCAGTCTCAGCGGAAATGGCCCACGGGCCCAGCCGCTCCGCGGCATGTGGGATCCTCCCGGACCGGGGCACGAACCCGTGTCCCCTGCATCGGCAGGCGGACTCTCAACCACTGCGCCACCAGGGAAGCCCTCAACTGTGTTATTTACCTTGCTGCTGCAATTTTAATTCCTGGCAGTTCAGGTTTTGAAAGTCCACACTGAAAATGTCTGTCCTCACAAAAAGTGTTTGAGGACAGTTGGGTCTTCTTGGTTCCTGATGCTCCTGTGAGAACGAATTCTGGTCTAATTGAATTTTAATTTTTTCTTTTCTCAAAAGAAATATAGCACAGACAGTGACTACAGAGGCTAATTTTATGCCATATGACTTTAGTACAATGTGTTATCTTTGTGGTTTGTTAAATCTATAGTATATTTTCGTGCGTTCTAATGTCAGGGTTGCTGGGTTAGTGCATTAGTTCAATCAAATATAGAAGTTATATGTGGTCAATGCTTTTGTCACTTTTCCCCATGTACATGGATTTTGAATGGTTAATAGTTTTTTTTGCATAAGAAGGGCTGAATGGGACCATTTTTCTAAACTACCTATTGAGGAAATTACACTAAAATGTCTCCCTCTCCCTTCTCTTCCTTCCTTTCCCCCCCTCCTCTTTCCTCTCTCTCTCTTCCACATTTTATTCAAACCTAATCTCTTTCACTATAGGAGATTTTTATATTAACTCTAACTTGGAACATTCATGTTTCTAAAAGGATATCACTGTGGCAAAAATATTTCTCTGAAACTAAAGGACGTGGCATTGAAATGAAAGGCAGTTGAAAAAAAGAGGAAGAAGGAAGGGCATGTAGTTAGGATTGGATATTTATCATGTGCCATTCTCTGCTCTTGCCTTTTCCCCCTAATAAAATAAAGGGGAAGAAAGGAGTATTGGAGAACGGAATGCTTTTGAACAGAAGGGAATACATGCAGTTCAGCTGCATGTATCATGCTAGCCCTCTGGAGCAAGCTACACAGGAAATTTTGCAGCTTTATAGTGAAAACATATTTTTTGTTTCTGTGCTTTAATGTTTCTTTATAAAACAGTAGTTGATTTTCATAACTCATTGACAAATGCTTTTTTAAAATCCCTATTAGATTACTTAATCTGGGCTTCTGCCATTTAACATTGGAGTTGCTCACTCTTGTTTTACTACTCAGTGGACTGTGAAAATTGAACTGTTACTCTGTTAATGATTATAATAAATTAAAAACATATGAGGATAGCCTCATCCACATTTGAGCTGCAGGATGTAGTTACCTCCCTTGTGTGCAAAGCTATTATTTTTTGATACCTGTGGTTTTAAGGTCCTCCATTCTGGATCACTCAGAAGACCTGAAAGAGACTAATATGTTGATTCTTTAAATGATAAATTTCCTCTCTATGCTGTCGCTGCACTGCTTTATATTCTGTCATCAAAATGACAGTAATAATTTCAAGCACACTCCCAGCTGTGTTCCTCCTCTCTACCATCTGGACTTGGCTAGGTTTACAACATGGCAAGTTGCTTATCAGCGAAGATACTCTGTATTTCAATATTTTCCTGTATCTATCCAATGGGAAAATTGCCATACTTATCATCCCTTGCCTCCTTTGTTGGGAAAGGGAGATTTGAAGCTCTTTAGTTCTTCTTCCCAAGGTCCTTTCTTCATAAAAGCTCTGTAGGAAATTGTGTTTGGTGACCCGGAGAGTGTTGATATTTTTGCGTTAGCTAATGATAAAGTTAATTTCATTAGTCATAGGTTTGTTAAAAATATCTCCAACTTGGAGCAGCTACTGTTGCCGTCACAAATAAACCTTAGAACCGCATTCTGCTCTAGAAAAGGAATAAACCCTATTAATGTAATTAATCTTTCCCATCTGTTGCTATAGCAGCAATAAAACAAATTAGTATGGAGTTCTTTTTAATGAAAAAGACTGATTATCTGATATGTCATGTTAAGACATGATCAGAATGTAAGTCTTTCCATCTTAAAAATCTTTTACAGTTTCAGTAGAATTAGAGTAACTAAGGCATTAAGAAAATCTGATAAATTTAAATAATTCATGCTTTGAAGTTGATCAACCCTAAGACTTCAGGTACTAAAGGGTTTAAATGTGTTTCCAAAGCATTTTATGTGTAAAAACCTTTATATATAATTATTGTGATAGTGAATATTTTAAAACAGCCTAAATATTTCCAAATAGGAGATTGGTTAAGCTGTGGTAGGTCTCGAAATAAAATATTCTGAAGATACTTGAATACTGCATATGAAGACAGTGGGAAAATGGCAGGAGGTGAAATCTGATAGGTGAAAACGCAGTATAAAATAAATGTATATAGATCCAGTGTATTAAATATTAATTCAGTTAAAATGTTTATAGGAAAAATCTTGGCAGGAAATATGCCCCGTAATGCTTTTATTGTCTGAGTTTATTTTTCTTTTCTCTACTCTTTCTCTTATAATTTAAAAAATTGTATTCTCTACTTTAAAATGGGGAAGAAAACTTACATCATAAACATCTACAAACTTTATTTAGATTTGTTTGAAACAGCTTACCATGACATAATCGTTTTGTTCATTCGTTAATTCACTGAGTATTTTTTGAGTACTTGCTAGAAATATTGTTTTAGTGCTGAGGGATTAGCAGTGCACAAACTAAAGCTCACGGGGTTTATAGTCTAATAAATATTAAACCTTAAGATGCTTAGAAGCATACCCTTAACTATTGTTTTAAATTCACGTCCTCACTGCCAACTTTGAAGGACATTTCTTGATTGGTAATTTTAAAGATTTTGAAAATTCCTATATATATTTTGTAGTCCAGCTTTTGTAGTAATATTTTTTATAGTCACATATTTTTAGCTTCTTGTTAATTGTACGTTAATTGAAATCATTCCATATAAATTTCTAACAGTTCTCTCAGCACTTATATTTAATGGTAGTGGCCAAAAAATGCATTATCAATTTTCTATTATTTTAACTCAGTAATTTCTTATTTGTACTTAATGAGACCTTAGTCCTTCCCTAATGTTTATTTTGCTGTCTTTGAATTATGTGACTTTTTTTTTTTTTTTTTTTTTTTTTTTTTTTGCGATCCGCGGTCCTCTCACTTTTGTGGCCTCTCGCGTTGCGGAGCACAGGCTCCGGACGCGCAGGCTCAGCGGCCATGGCTCACGGGCCCAGCCGCTCCGCGGCATGTGGGATCCTCCCGGACCGGGGCACAGACCCGTGTTCCCTGCATCGGCAGGCGGACTCTCAACCACTGCGCCACCAGGGAAGCCCAAATTATGTGACTTTTTTAATGGCTTTGTTTGTCCTTCCTTTGCTAACATAAACAAAGGCTGAGGTGGAACACATTTTCTATAGTTCTCTCACTGTCTTCCCCTGTGCCTCACCCTGCACACACTTCCCCTCTCCCTGCCTCTCTCCTCTAGCCACAGTGAACTTGGGAGCTGGTTCAGTGCATGGACTCCATGTACACTTTCACTCTGGGCCTTGAACACTCAGAGTCCCTCTTACTTGGCTAACAACACCTATATATTCTGAAGTCTCAACTTTGATGTCATTTCTTCCAAGAAATTTCTCCTAACCTTCTCCTAACCTTCCCTCTGTGCTTCTACAGAATGCCATGTTTTCTTTTTCCATGGACAACATTTATATGATATTCTATTCACCTGGTTACATTAGATTGTAAGATCTATGAGAGAAGGCACATGTCTACCTTGTTTACCATTAAATAAATAATTGTTAAGTGAATGAGTAGTGATCTTTGTTAACATGAAAATAACTGCCCTGGGAGGCAGACGTTTAGTTTCTTAGTGGAATATTACATAATAATACCATATTAACTTTGAAACAAAGTATCTGTTTAATATTTTTCTTTC